ACACAGGGAGAACATGCAAACGCCTCACAGAACCGCAGGAGCTTTGAGAACACAGCACAAACACAGGGACAACATGCAAACACCTCACAGAACCGCAGGAGCTTTGAGAACACAGCACTACCCACTGAGCTACCTTTGGGTACATTATACTAGTGGTACATTATTTAAAAAGATAGATATGGCATGTAAAAATGAGGAAGGGGGGATTACAGAAACGAACAGTATGATAGCATGAAAAATTACACGCCATCCAAGCCTAAGATGCAGCCTAAACCAAAGGCAGCATTTGAATGCATGATGTCACTTAAGTTTTAAGCTATTTTATACACATAAGCCTGTGTTAGTGGTCTAAGGTCAATCGACTGATATTTCAATTTCACAGCACAATTTAAACAACTGTTTAGTTGTTGCTGTTGGCATTCCATTCCTGTTGGTAGCTACACAAATAAAAATGTGTCATTATATATTATTGCCTCCTCGTCATTTCCCTCACTTAAGACCACTCTGGGTTTCATCTTTCACGGTTTCTTGTTGTACACAGTGGGCCTGGGCTATTGTGCAACGCTGGGCTGGGTCTATAATTGTGTTATAAACATTCAGATTTCTTCAAATGATAAAAATCCGAATGCATTTTTAAAAGGACATTTCCAGCCATTATATGTGGTGACTGTCAAGCACCTATTAGCAGTGGCAGCATCAACAAAAGAGCTCCATCAGAGTGTCCCTCAGGGGCGTCGCCGGCGGGGCGACGCCAGAGGTTATGGCACCTGTTCAGAAGCCATCCCTCACCAGAAAATTACCCTGTCTGACAGCATCTCTTTCAGACACTGTCACCCTCAAAGGAGCCTGTGATCCCTCACCCCCACGCTCCCGGCTGGATGCTGCTCTCGAGAAAAACAGCCCCCAGAAAGGATGACCCAGGCTTGATATCCCATCAACCCTTACTGTACCTGGGGGAGGGACTCGTGGGAGATAGAGAGGGTGGGTCACACAAACACATCAAAAAGAAAGAAACAAATAAAAGTCTTGAACTCTTGCAAATAAAAACACTGCTGCACATAAATAAATAAAAGCAGTTCAATAGTCAGTTGCTTGTTTTTTAAAAAAAAATTTAAATTTAAAACCTCTCCCCCGGGAGAAGGAAATGGTACGAGCCAGACACCTGCTTCCCTCAAAATGTTAGCATGGGCCTGGACCCTGCCACAAATTTTAGTGGGGAGAGGAACATAAGAAGAGAGAAGCTGACAGAGAAACATGACTGAAAATTCCATTAGCAGTCTAAAATTAAACATCTGAAAAAGCCAGCATATTAATTTCATCTCTCTTGATCAACACTGAAAGGCTGATACAGTTTCTCATGAACGGCCAGTGTCTGTGCGACAGAGATCCGGTAGCGTTTCCAGAACCAACACTGGCAGTTCCTCTGGGGGTTTCTCGCACCACACAGAGGCTTGTCAGGCAGGGTAGGATGCGCGGGACCGGAAGGAGCCGGGCAGCAGGAGCTGCGGTGCTGAGGAAATGCGACGCAGAGGAAATGCGACGCGGACACAGATCAGCCCGGACTGCTAATGCCTTTGGCCCGGCAAACCACAAGCAGAAGCCTAACTCTCCTAGGGGGGTTGAGGGGGTGGGGGGGCAGCCCTAACAAGTCCCCTGAATATGAACCACTTCCAGTTCTGCTAGCTGCTTCATGACCAGCTCGCTCATCCCGTAGCAGCCCCCCCCAACCTGCCCCGGAACATGCAGAAGCAGGGCCTGCCGCCCCCAGCTGTAATTGCCTCAGTTATGGGTGGGGAGGGGCAGCTTGTTAATAAACACGGCTTGTTAATAATCCTGGGTCTCCACCAGCTTGCGCTCTTCCCTCTTCTCCTCCGGGAATATTACGTCCTGCTCGCTTCGCTGACCGCAAACACAGGTCTGATTTGCATAACAGCGGCTTTCTGCATTCGCGGGAGCAGGGCTGCGGCGCCTCTGCGTTCCACCGGTGCGGGTGTTTGTCTGCGTCTGCGTGGGCAAGTCTACCTGGGCGACGTTCGTTAGCCGTTTCCCTGTCACGCCGTCGCCAGTGTCCACTAACAGGCGAAAAAGATACAACGGCAGCGATTGCATCATTACCGCGATGAGATCATGCTCGCCATGGAGCGCCGGCGTGCCGTTTGTGATGGGATAAATGCCAGGCAGTCTGCCACATGAGCTCTCCCAGTGACAGCATGGGTAACAAGTGCCAATCTCAATGGCCGGGGGCAGCTTTGTAAGTAGGCAGACCCCCAGAAGCCCCCGACACAGGCCTGTGGAATAGAACCGGGCTTTTACCGCTCGGACAGAGCCAGGTCCGGCACATAAGCATGTCAAGGTGACCCCATCCTAGTAAATGACACAATGAGAGAAGCTGCCCCCCCAGAGCACGTTGGACCCAATACCCTACCGGCCACAAGTGGTAAACAGAGATACAAAGGGCTGGTATCAAGGATGTGGGATGAGCACCAGAGGCTCCTGTAAAATTTAGTCTTTCCATGCAGAATGGTTTTACTATTTGAATATCAGCGGGGGAGGGGGTTCTACAGGCCAGACACATTCAACTCACTGCTGCAGTGCAAACACAGTTCTCCAAATTAGGCATTTATAATAGAAACTGTGTAAACCAGGAAAACTGTAGCTGTATGAACAGAAAAAGGTGGGAACAGGTCTAGGAGACATACAGACCGCATACAGACCATAAGAACATAAGAAATTTACAAACGAGAGGAGGCCATTCGGCCCATCAAGCTCGCTTGGGGAGAACTTAACTAATAGCTCTTAGTTGTTTAAATCTCATCTAGCTCTGATTTAAAAGGAACCCAGGGTTTTAGCTTCCGCTACACTAGCAGGAAGACTATTCCATACTCTAACTACACGCTGTGTAAAGAAATGCTTTCTCAAATTCAGTTTAAAATGTTCTCCCGCTAATTTCCACTTATGGCCACGAGTTCTAGTATTTAAACTAATACTGAAGTAGCCATTTGGTTGAACAGCATCCAGACCTGTTAGAATCTTATAGACCTGGATCATGTCCCCCCTCAGACCGGGCCCATTAGGCTATAATAGATTAAAGTCTTGTGAGGGGACCACAATTTGGCTCCCCCTAATCTAGCTAATCCTCCGACTATGCTTAAGATCACCGGCTCCCTCGTCAGGCCGCAAACGGGGAATGGGCGAGAGGGCGGGCACAGCCAGGCTGCCTCGTCAGGCCGCAAACGGGGAATGGGCGAGAGGGCGGGCACAGCCAGGCACTTCCTTCAAATGATTCTTGATTCTGCACTGGCGGCAGCACTTTGGACCTCTGCAGTTGTACGGCAGACTGTCCCACGGGGGCAGCTATAACGCAGGATTCAGGAACCGCGTGCGCAGCGCGCAATCCATCAATAACGGTAGATCATATTCACACTGACACATCTCTTTTGACAGTGAAGACGCCTGTGATTAGGATGATAAATAACAGAAATAATAAAAAATAATAATAATCATAAATAACAATACATCACAGAGGCATTATGGTTTCCCCAATGAGAGGCCCGGGTGATTTACCAGACACCATGGCTGAATGCAGCCCCCCCTCCCTGTGGGAAATATCCACGGCAACGCATCAGTAGACATGTCAGCTGACACCTTAATGTGCTTCTCTTGTGTGCTGCTCTATACAGGGCAGGAGGCAGAGGCCAGGCTGGTCGTTTGCAGCAAGGGAGAGGGGTTGGGTTGGGGGGGAGGGGTGTCTGGGGCGAGGAAGATGGGCATTAAAAAGCTCTCCTCTGGGCCGAACAACCAGGAGACCCATACCAGCTGAGCATAGGGAGAGGAAGGCTGAGTCATGATACAGATAGTAGAACATTCCTCGGCTTACAGGGGTGAAGGTCAGGCAGATGAAAGAATCGCCTCTTGTCTTGCTACTCATCATGGACAAGAGAGATCTGGCCAAGGCTTGAGGAGACAACACACCATCTCAGTGGCCCCTGGACGGCAGAGGGACAGTCCAGCATGGTCAGCTAGGAAGTGGGGGGAGGGGGGCATTCTAGTGCAATTGCAGCCATCAGAGACGGCAGCAAATTAAATAGACAAGCAAGCGAATTAAAAAAAAAAAAAAAGATGCAAAAAATTCAGGCATCCTTTCACAGAGGTGCATCTGTATTCGAGAGTGCAGGCAGGCTGAAGGCAGCCCTCCGCAGGACCCCTGACCCCTCGGCCGGTGGCTGCCACGGATCACAGCTGTGAAGAAGGCGCTAGCTGCTGGGGGGGTGGGGGAAGGTGAAGGAAGTAATCGAGGGTGTACGAATGTGCGGTAACAAGAGGCTATTAAGCTGGCGTGTTGATGCGTCTCCCAGCCCGGAGTACAGGGAGGCTGAGAGCAGCCCCCCCTTCAGTCACATCCCCACCGCACTTCAGGAACTACTCAGCACCCCAACCATGCTTCGCTTCTCCCCACTGCATAAATTGAGAAGGTTTTTTGGGCCGCTGCTCTGTCTCACATGGTGAATTAGTCCCTGCGGTCTCTATTCTGAGCTAACGGCACTCACCGACAGGGTGTCCGTCCCAAACGGGGGAAGTCCCTCCCCCCACTTCCTAGCTTACTGGAGGAGTGTGTCTCAGCTTTAATCATGGGGGGGCAGGTGAAGGTGCAGACAGTGGGGTGGGCCTTTATGCATACACACTTGGGTTGAAGGGAAGGGACTCTTAAGGGACTTGATAGAGCCATGATACAGTGGATCAGGAACTAGCCTGCGCTGACGTGGTAGAAGGACTGAGGGACACATTCACTGTGTAACTACACATTCACTGTGTAACTACACATAAGACTTAAGGCAGCAAATCCTCACACAATGCTCATAGGTCCAAAAACGTGCAATATTTGGCAGTAAAGAACCAGTCTTTTGATTACTAGACATACAAATCAAGCTTTAACTACTATGTCACTGGTGGGCAGCTGCCACCACAGAGAGGTAGCAGCCGGAGGCGAAGGCCAAGCTTGCCTGCTTGTCGGTGAGCGTGTAGATGTACTGATGGTCGGGGCTGAACAGCAGGTCCCTGAGGATGGGGCTGTCCGCGCTGACCGCCATGTCCTCGTACAGCTGTGCCGGCTGGCTGGAGCTCACAGAGTTCACCAGGATCTGCAAGGGAAAACAAAACACGATGGCACCACTGTCCAGACTTCACGCTGGCATGCATCGAGAGGACCTGGGGTGGGGCAGACGAGGGGGCATGGCACAGGGAAACCGGCCATTGCCGCTGATGGGAAGGAACGATATCAAAGATCTCAGTGCGGCCTTGATCAAACGCCCTGCGCAATCATTTCACCGTCACCTATCCCGAAAAAAAAGTGACAGACCGGGAGTTAAGAAAAGAATCACAGAAACATGCTGTCCCTTGGATAAGTGTCGGGCTCAGCTGGACCCGATCCACCGCCCGCCCTATCTGGTTCTGTGTAAAGTCCAATTTACTGAATATCGAGCGTTCGCAGGGCTGAAGTCGAATCTGTAACGAGTTGGCACCAGGTGCTGCACTTCTGACAGCCGAGGCAATCCGAATGTCAGCCATTATCATCAAAATGAATACATTCACGCTGGCAAGATTAAATGAGGAAAAAATGATATCCATAAAACAAAGCAAAGTTATTAGCTTTCATAGAATGTCAATACAGAAGAGGGTCATTCAGCAACTGTAAATACATACACGAAAATCCGGCACTGTGTTACACGCAAATAGTAAAACATCACTTATCAGCTGGAAAGTGAAACGCTTCCCCTCACAAGACTTCAATCTATTATAGCCTAATGGGCCCGGAAATGATCCAGTTGAGTTTTTAAATCCATTACATGCACCTTGTTTGAAATTTCCTGCTTCTGGAAGGGCCAGACTGTAAAGGTGAAAGCATTTGTATGGCCTGCGTGGAGTGTGTCAGCGAGGACACTGCCCCCCCACGCAGGGACGACGAGGGCGCCCCACACAGGGCAATGCATGGCAAGCAAAACAGCTGGTCGATGTAGCAGTTAGTGAGGCTGACGATGGGGGAGGGGTGGTCACAGGGTCATGGGTGGCCATGACCCCCACCCTAACCCTACACTGTGGTGTTTCTAATGAGCTTCCAGTCCAGAGTGACTAATGGCAGCTGTCGTCTATGGGGAGAGAGCATGGGGGTCGGGGGGGGCATATCATACTGGGGAAGATCTTCCACATATAGGTCTATTGAATGCTAGCAGAACTTCACAAAAACAAGGGGGGGAGTCCTATTATGTTTAATGGGGGGTAGTTTGAAAAGCCTATTGGCCCACAGCAGGGAGGAATGTGAGCAAAGAAGAAAGTATAAAATGGGGCAGCGCCCCCCCCCCCATCGGCACTGGATATGGCTCATTACAGGCCCAGCACCGCTATCAGCAAGGACACCACATCCTCTGCTTCTGGACCAGCTGCCAAGGAACTTGTCCATGTGGGAGGAACTTGTCCTATGGCACAGGACATATCCCATAGTCCTTTGTGCTGGGCTCTACACACAGGAACAGGCCACGCTGACCGCCAAGACAAACAAGTGGCCGGCGGCCCCTGGAACCCACCCCACAATCCCCCCCCCCATTATCTGTCATTCCCGCTGCACTCTTTTCTGAGCTTACTCATCTGTAATCAAATATAATTCAATTTAGCCACAATTTACCCTGAATGGTCCACCAGGGACAGCACCTCTCTCATTACAGGGAGATTTTCTAACACTAACCAATTAGGTGACGTTAAACAGCCCCCCCCCCCCCATTAGCTACACGGCAGTGACACGCGATCTCCCTGTGTGGCGTGGGCGTACAGCCATGTTCTGCTCCCTCGTCCGCCATCCATTCCAAGTCAAAAAGGAGAGCTGGCAGAGAAATGCGAAGGAGACCAAAGAAATCCGCAGTTTCACGGGCAGGCGTCAGAACAGGCCATGCAAGATGAACCCCTGAGACGACGACGAAGAAAACAAATTCGATTCCCCTGACAGATCAGCTCTGACACCGGCCACCCTGCTGCAGATTTGTGGATAGCCAGCTCACACTCTGCTGCCTTTGAAGGTCCGGCCATCGCACCCTATCCACACTGCCATACCGCCCACCCGTAACTGCCCCCAAGTCTGAGGCTGTAACCCTCACTGCATCACCCTCACTGCATCACCCTCACTGCATCTCCCTCACTGCAGCCATCACACGTGCCCTCGGTGCGGCTCGACTCAAAGCTGGCCACCCATCCAAGTTCATGCGGAGGGTCAGCTCTGCATCCTGAAACTAGGACAAGTGGCAGTGGAGCGATAGTGGACCTAATTCCACCAAGTGAAATCCAAAAAGCCAGTGTGTATTAACAGAACACACACACAAAACCCAAACTAGTAGAACATACTGTTCCTTTTTTGACATGTTTTGTCCTAGCAGGACGGATCCTATTAATCAATGGCCTCATTTTCACCAGCCTCTGTCTGACCCTGGGGGGAGCAGCCCATGCACACAGACCCCCCAGAGTCCAGACCCCTGGGTATCCTTCTATGACAGGGCTTCCTGCATCTTCCATGGGGGGATTAGATTAGAAAATGAAAATGGAGGAACATAAATTAAAGCTGAGTCCCATCCTGCCATTTCCCTAACTGCACCTCCCCAGATGAGGCCCTGATTAAGGACCAGGCCGAGTTCGTGCAGCGGTCATGCAGTGTCGGTGGCTTCAGGCTGGGGGTTTCAGGAGGGGGGAGGGGGGTCACCATTACCCCTACCCTTCAAACTGCTATCCCATGGATCAGAAAATAGCATAAGAGGGGTCAGCAGCTGCAGAGAAGGGGCCGGAAAGCTGCAGGGAGTCCAACAGGAGGAGCAGGCTTACACCCAAGTAGCTGCAGCGACACGCTAGCGGTCCCCATACAGCCGGATAAGACGCAGGAAAAGACCCACGATCTGCGGGGTCCATGATGACGACGAGCAAAGACCCAGGAAGGCCAAGCACTCGCTCGTAAACACATCATCCGAAGGCTCCTCCAGCGCCAAGGTCTAAATCCCAGGTGCTGAAACTGCAGCCATTTTTTGGGGGGAGGGGAGACCGAGAAGGAAATATCAGGCTAATGCAATCAAAGAAAGTATTTTCCACACGTTAGATGGCCGGTTAGGGATAACACCCACGCAAATAAGCCTGTGTTACAAAACAGTCCACACTTCCATAGCGATCCCCCCAGACTCCAAATTGGATACAGCAAGCAAGAAAAACTCAGTCCTCCACCGCCATTAACATCATTTAGCTTCACATGAAGCAGTGTGTTTTGTACTTTTTGAGGAGCTCTGTGACCACATTCGGGGCCTGACCACAAACCAAATAAGTGGCCTCGTTCACGCCCCCCAGCCCCACAGAAAAGGGCACGCCGGAGCAAGCTGGCAACTGTGCTGTGACTGATCTCCAGCCCAACCAAAGCTTTCAATTAAGGGCTGAGATTGCTTCTGCTAGAGGCCAGGGTCAAGAACCATTACCCAGGAAGTTCAATGCAGATGAGGCTCGATTGGGTGGCAACAATCACAACAAAAAACTGGGGGCAAGCGGTCACCCAGACGTTCATCTCGTGTGGCAGCCGGTCAAAAAATACAGTCTTAGTCTCTATATTAGTCTGCAGCTGTGCAGCACCCCGGGTGACAGTAACACCGTAGGTCTCAGGCTAACAGGCGTGTCACCGCAGGTTTTGGGGGACTGATACCCTGGTCCAAGCCCAGGAGTAAGCTGTGGTTATGTGGCCCGGCACTGACAGGGCTCAGCGAGACAGACGACAATTTCAGCACAGCTGCTATGCCGGAGCTCTCCTTTTTCACGCAACATTTTGCTTTATTGAAACAGTCCTGGGCCAGAAACAGGCCCCCTTCGTAACCATACAGAAACTGAGCGGGTAAGTGTGGATGGGGGGGGGGTTACCGTCCTGCCTATTAAGCACAGAAACTCTAGTGGGAGGGCTTTCCACAGATATCCACAGTCACCTATCTAGGGACTCAGGTGGCCCCATGGTCACGTCTCGGGAGCGAGGAGGGGGGGGGAGGTTTCGTAACGGGCTGGCTGCAGGCGACTGAGGGGTATAAATAAAGATGCTTCTAGAAGGGCCTCCTTCAGATCACTGCTGCATCTGTTCCACTCCCCCACAGAAGCTCGCGAGCCTCTCGAGGGTTTGGCTTCCAGCGTCTGCCACTGCAGTGGCAGGCATCTCCACTGCGACACTCGGCCTTTGAAGTGCGTATAGCTGTTTACATGTTATTTTATTTATGTCCCCTGCCCCACCCGGCCGCCGTCCACCGGTGTTCCCCTCTCCGCTGCGAGGTCTCTCATACTTGACATAACTGGGTTTGGCCCTTGCATAACATACAAGGCCCACTGCTGTCTTTGATCTGAAGCCTCCTGAATCGAAGATCAGAGGCTGCTCCAGTCTGACTGCTGGATAATTTATGGATTCGGGAGGCTGTCGTCAATGTGTCATATTGGGTTTTATCATTATTGTTAATATCATCATTAACATCGCCGGTTTTCTACAGTGCTACCATTTCATTTACCGCAACATAGTGCATGTAGTGAAGCTGAACCCATTGCATGGAATTCTGGGAAACAGGGCCAAGAGACACATGTGGTACATTTTATGAATCAGTGTTATCAGAGAAGGCAGGTCCACTAAAAACATAATTAGACTGGCCAGCAGGCAACCAGCAGCACCCACCTCCTCAGTGCTGGAAAGACCCTGCGGGCAAGAGAGGCCGAGCTTGGCCGGCAGCGGAGGTGCGAGACTCGAAGATGGGATTTGAGATGGAGGAAGAGACTGGCCAAATGGGCTGAGAGCTATCTTCTCTGCGAGATGTGAGGTGAGACAGGCCTGCGGTGAAAATGGCCCTCTGCATCACCCTCTGGAATCTGACAGGCATTTACCCGATCGGCGCACCTGGATATCACATCTTACATACAGCAGGACCCATTAGTTCACAAAGCTGCCTCACAGGAGAAGCAGAATAGCGGCTGCCTGGCTCAGAACACCGACCTCCCTTCAGGTCTATGAACAAACACAAACGCACACACGTACGCACACAGACCCATAATCATATCTTTGTGGGGACCAGTCACTTATTTCTATGGGATAAATGCTAATGCT